AACCAACACCAGAACAGAACACCAAACACTGCATGTTTTCACTTATAAGTGGGAGCTGAATGATGAGAACATATGGATGCATGGCAGGGAAACAACACATACTGGGGCCTGTCAGGGTGGGGTGGGTGTGGGTAGAGGAAAGGCATCAGGAAGAATAGCTAATGGATGCTGGGCTTAGTACCTAGGTGATGGGATGATTTGTGCAGCAAACCACCATGGCACATCTTTACCTGTGTAACAAACCTGCACATCCTGCACATGTACCCCTGAACTTAAAATAAAAGTTAAAGGAAAAAAAAAAAAAGAAATTGACTAGATAGTTAATACTATCTGGAAATTGGTCCGGCGCGGTGACTCACGCCTGTAATCCCAGCACTTTGGGAGGCCAAGGCAGGTGGATCACCTGAGGTCAGGAGTTCAAGACCAGCCTGACCAACATGGAGAAACCCTGTCTCTACTGAAACAAACAAACAAACAAACAAACAAACAAAAAACAAAACAACTATTTGGAAACTATTTCCCTTCGGAATTTTGAATGCCTTACCCCATTTTCTTGTAAATTCCTGTGTTGCTGCTGAGAAGTTCAGAGCCCTTTTGATTTCTGATACTTTGTACGCAATCTTCCTTCTCCCATCCCACTGGAAACTTTAAAATCTTCTCATTGACCCCATTGTCTTAGTCAGTTTGGGTTGCTGGAACAAAGTACCATAGACTGGCGTATATACAACACAAATTCTTATCTCACAGCTCTGGAGGCTGGAAGTCCAAGATCAGAGAGCCAGCATAGTCAGGTTCTGGTGAGGGCCTTCTTCTAGATTGCAGATGGCCTTCTTCTGGTTGTATCCTGACTCGGCAGAAAGGTGGAAAAGCGAGCTCTGTGGGGTCTCCTTTTATAAGGACACTTATCCCACTCAAGAAGTTCCACCCTTAAGACCTAATTACTTCTCGAAGGACCCACCTCCTAATACTATCACATTGGGGGTTAAGATTTCAACATATAAACTGGGGGCAGGGGAGACATAAACATTCTGTCCCTAAGTCCTGTGTTCTGAAATAGCTCTGTGATGTGTCTTGGTGTGGATATATTTTCATTGCTGGATACTCAGCGAACTGTTTCACACTGCAGACATGTATCCTTCAATTTTCAGAAATCTTAAATTATTTCATTGATGAAATAATTGCTTTTTCTAATCTATCTTTGAGGAATTTCTTCAGGACTGGCCTTTTACTTTGCCTATGTTTTACCTGTTATTTTATATGCTGTTTTCTTTCTTTCTGGGAGACGTCTTCAACCTTCTCTTCCAATCCATCTATTGAGTTTTCATTTTTACAACGTTTAAATTTATTTTTTGTTCTCTTTAAGTTTATTTTGTTTCATTAATTTTTGTTTCATTAATTAAAAATCTTCGAATACCTCTCTCTCTATATTATTATTATTATTGAAAGACGGGTGGGAACAGCCAGGCACAGTGGCTCTTGCCTGTAATCCCAGCACTTTGGGAGGCTGAGGTGAGTGGATTGTTTGAGCTCAGGAGTTCAAGACCAGTCCGGGCTACATGACGAAACCATGTCTCTACAAAAAAAAAAAATGCAAAAAAATGCTAGTCATGGTGATACACACCTGTAGTTTCAGCTACTTGGGAGGCCGAAGTGGGAGGATTGCTTGAGCCCAGGAGGTGGAGTTGCAGTGAGCTGAGATTGCACCACTGCATTCCAGCCTGGGCAACACAGCAAGATCCTGTCTCAAAAAAAAAAAAAAAAAAAAAAGTGGAGGTCGGGCACAGTGGCTCATGCCTGTAATCCCAGCACTTTGGGAGGCCGAGGTGGTCAGATCACCTGAGGTGAGGAGTTGGAGACCGGCCTGGCCAACAAACATGGTGAAACTCCATCGTTACTAAAAATACAAACAAATTAGCCAGGCATGGTGGTGGGCACCTGAGATCCCAGTTACTAGGGAGGCTGAGGCAGGATAATTGCTTGAACCAGGAGGTGGAGGTTGCAATGAACCAAGATTGCACCACTGCACTTCAGCCTGGGTGACTCAGTGAGACTCCGTCTCACAAAAAATAAATAAATAAATAAATAAATAAATAAATAAATAAAAAGATGAGAGGTTGTATTCATTCATTTTCGCACTGCTAATAAAGACATACCCAAAACTGGGAACGAAAAGAGGTTCAATTTGACTTAGAATTCCACATGGCTGGGGAGGCCTCTGAATGATGGCGGAAGGTGAAAGGTACTTCTTACATGGCAGCAACAAGAGAAAATGAGAGAAACAGTAAAAGCGTAAACTCCTGATAAACCCATTAGATCTCGTGAGACCTATCTACTATCACGAGAATAGCACAGGAACATCCCTCCCACAACATGTGGGAATTCTGGGGATAACAATTCAAGTTGAGATCTGAATTGGGACACAGCCAAACCATATTGGGGTCTTGCTATGGTGTCCAGGCTGGCCTTTGACTCCTGGGTTCAAGTGATCCTTCTGCATAGCTGGGAATATAGGCATGTACTACCTTGCTGGACTCCTCTCTATAGATATTAATACTAATTTAAAAAGAAGTTTTACATTTTTTTTTCCTGACAGCCTAGTCTTTGTTTCCTTCAAGTTGCCTTTTGCTGTTTATGTATTTTATTTCAACATTTGTGCAGGAGGCTATCCTCAGATGTCTGATAATTCTTAATTGTCTGCTAATGATTAAGGGTATCACAATAAAAAGCCAAGCAGAAGCTCTCCGTACATGGGTGGCTTTCATTTCTTCACTGACATGGGTCAGCTATTTTGGTTTGGAACCTCCACTGTCTATTACGGTGTTTCCTCTTGGGCTGTTTGGATTCCCCACAGAAGGCACCTTCAGTCTCCTGTATGAATGGGGAAGGCCTGGCTCCCTGTATTCTGGTTGTCGTACTGGGAGAGGAGGGAGGTGGTGTCAATCCCCCTTGTGTTTGATACACTTCCCCTACCTTGACTTGGTTCCCTGGTTTAGAGATCCTCTGATTTCTCTGTTCGAAGAACACAGTTCTAATCTTCTTCTGGGGTTGCAGCTGCCTAGTTGTGTAGGGTGGGCCAAGGAATTGAGGAATCTAACTATTTCTTTCAACCAATCCTTTTGATCCTGTCCTCACCACCCTCCACTTCCAGGGTACTTGGTGCCTTCAATTCCTGGGCTTTTGCCTGACATTTCAGTGGATATTATATATGTATTTTTCTTAGCTGCCCTTGCTGCTAACTTAGGGTTAGGCTTTTTCAGACCTGCAAAGTCAATTTCCATTTGGCCATGTTCTTTCCTCCTTCAAAGGTGTTGTTGTCATTATCTCCCTCTCCTTGGTGTTTTATGCCTTAAAATAAGTCCTTTTGGTGTAGTTTCAGTAGGGTTTGGGAAGAAGCAAAGAGAGTTCAATCTCTATCTTTACCGGAAGTCACTGCAATTGAGTTTTTGATTATTAAAAGTTTGAACAGCCTCTTATTGCCAGGGTAACATGGCGAAACCCAGCCTCTACAAAAAAATAAAAAAATTAGCCAGGCGTGGTGGCGGGTAGTCCCAGCTACTCCAGAGGCTGAAACATTAGGATCACTCGAACCCAGGAGGTGGAGGTTGCAGTGAGGTGACATCATGCCACTGCACATCAACCTGGGTGACAGAGGGAAACCCTGTCTCAAAGAAAAAAAAAGATTTGAAGGCCAGGAGAGGTGGCTCATGCCCGTAATCCCAGAACTTTGGGTGAACAAAGTGAACAAAGTGAAACCCCGTCTCTACAAACAATACAAAAATTAGCCAGGTGTGGTGACCCACGCCTCTAGTCCCAGCTACTTGGGAGACTGAGGTGGGAGGATCACTTGAGCCTAGGAGGTGGAGGCTGCAGTGAGCAGTGATCGCGACACTGCACTCCAGCCTGGGCTCCAGAGACCCTGTCTCAAAAAAAAAAAAAAAAAAAGTATTTAGTATTTACTTTTTTGTATAAATACAATAATTTATGGGGCTTTTGAAATTTTGGATAACATTTTATAAGCATCTATGATCATCTGGCCAGTCTTAACACAGTGTTTTTTGTCCTCTTGTGTTGCTATAAAGGAGTACCCAAAGCTGGGTAATTCGTAAAGAAAAAAGTCTATTTGGCTTGCAGTTCTGCAGGCTGTACAGGAAGCACCAGCATCTGCTTCTGCTGAGGGACTCTGGCTGCTTCCACTCATGATAGAAGGGGAAAGGCAGCCAGAGCAGGCAGATTACCCGGCCAAAGAGGAGAAGAGAGAAGGGGAGGGAGATACCAGGCTCTTTTTTTTTTGAGACGGAGTTTTGCTCTTGTCGCCCAGGCTGGAGTGCGATGGCACAATCTTGGCTCACTGCAATCTCCACATCCCAGGTTCAAGCGATTCTCCTGCCTCTGCCTCCTGAGCAGCTGGGATTACAGGTGTGCGCCTCCATGACTGGCTAATTTTGTATTTTCAGTTGAGATGGGGTTTCTCCATGTTGGTCAGGGTGGTCTTGAACTCTCGACCTCAGGTGATCTGCCTGCCTCGGCCTCCCAAAATGCTGGGATTACAGGCTCTTTTTAACAAGCAGTTTTTAAGGGAACTAATTGAGTGAAAACTCGCTTATTACCTCAAGGACTGTACCAAGTGCGTCATGAGGGATCCTCCCCCATGAACTCAAACACCTCCCATTAGACCCCACCTCCAACATTGGGGATCAAATTTTAACATGATATTCGGAGGGAACAAATATCCAAACTATATCACACAGCTATTGCATTAACCTAGTGTTTTGCAAACTTGAGTAATGTTCTAACCCTACTTAAGGAAAAATGAAATCTATAGATTCCTGGTGCCGAATTACATTATTTTAATTACAACATTATTTACATGTGTACAAACAAGCATCCACTATTTATACTTACAGCTCTTGTCTAGTTATATAAGCAAAAACAAAAAAACAAATTCAACAAAAGCATTATTTAATTCAAATTAACAACATAAATTTAATGTGATAGATTATTTTAATGGAGCAGCATTGCTGCTCTAAATATGAATATGGTGCTTATTGCTGTGTCCTGGGTTCTTTCAAGTTCTTCATCCATCTGCTACAATGTGTTGCATGAGAGACAAATTCATCCATCTCTCCCTGAATTTGAAACACAGACAAATCATTTTTCAGATAGCAAGATTTGTTGCCATACAAGCATGACTTAGCAAGAATGCATCTTTTACCTTCTGAGCCTGCATCTGTTCTTATTATATTAGTCTCTAACAAATATGACACAACTTCATGATGCCAAGGGGATCATAAATGTGAAAAAGCATTTTGCTCTTCTTTTAATTTAAATGTATTTTCTGAGGAATGTTTGTGCTGCCCACATGAGTTGACTGGTGACACTAGTTGGTCCTCAGCTCTCTGGGAAGCTTTCCTGGAGAAGGTGACCTTTTTATCAAAGCAGGAAAATAGTATGTACTTATGTAGAATTACAGAAATGAAAAGCACCTTTTCCTGGATTTTCTTCACAAAGTAAGAGCAAATACTAGGCTAATAGAGCTGCCTATTGGGAGAAGGGCACATTTGATGTGGCAATACCATTTCATTCTCGGGCAGACGGCCACCAGTTTGAGGTCTGTGGTAATTTGAACTATACTAAAAAGCAATGGGATCTGATTTTGTAAATCAAAATAGTTGACTTTGTTAAAATAATCAATATCTTAAAATTGTCTGCATAACTCCAATATTTTCCTCTTTTCCTGAAATGGACTCCTTGGGATTTCCCCTACGCTCACATAGCTAGAAATGCCCAGCAATCACTGGGAGGTATTACTTATCAGTGCATCAGATCCCCCTGCTAGTTCCCTGGAGAAGAAATCCACATAGTGTCTGGTCCTGCCCTCCAGGCCCTCAGTGTAAGATGGGAAACTCATGTAGCAGTATTTATTTATTTGAGACAGGGTCTCACCCTGTCACCGAGGCCAGAGTGCAGTGGCACCGTCACTGCTCACTGCAATCTCGAACTCCCAGTCTCAAACGATCTTCCCATCTCAGCCTCCCAAGTAGCTGGGTCTACAGGTGTGTGCCACCGCACCTGGCTAATTTGTATTGTTTTATTTTTTATTTTTTGGTAGAGACAGAGTCTCAATATGTTGCCCAGGCTGGTCTCTAACTACTGGGCTCAAGTGATCCTCCCTGCCTCAGCCTCCCAAAGTGCTGGGATTAGAGGCATGAGTCCCTGCACCTGGCCACGTCTTTGAAAAGCAGAGTAAGAACACAGAAGAATTTGGCTTCCATCTAAAAACTATGAGAGTTTTCTAGAAGGAAATAATGCTTGCTAAGGCAGGGCCAGTTGATTAATACCATAACTTGATCAAGCGCAGGTGTAAGTCTTGTTGGCCATCTCTCCTCAATACAGAGAGGCGGTGCCCAGAGGGAGGAGTCCTGGAAGCAGGGAGGGAGGTGGGGCGACGGGCCCTGGAGACACCAGATTCATTACAAATCAGCTGACAGTTTAGAGTCGGCTTTCCAGAGGGGCATCAAAAACATTGAACTGACCTCATCCAGCCTTCCTGTCTGATGAGTTGCACTGGAGCAGGAGGAGGTACAATCCAGGCTAGAGCGGTGTATCTTCTTGCAAGTGAATTGCAAGGGTGTGTCCAGGAACCTGAAACTTGCCTCTGGGAAAGGAAGCTGCAGAGCTACACTGAAGGTTAGGGCTCTTGCCAAATAGGCTGATTTAGGGCACATTCTAGTTCCAATAGCCAGCTGGAGTCTGGCAGGAGAACCAGTGCAAAACCAGACATAGAAGATGTCTGACCATGGCCTGGAAATCTAGATGGTGATCCCCCACCCCCTGCTTACCAGGCTAAGGCTGCAAATGTGTTTGGGTTAGCATGTGTTAGGGAGCTAGGGAGACCATGCAGGACTCCAACAAAAGGAAATGTTCCTCCTGCCTCTTGCCACTGTTCATACATATTCCATGTCTTCCTTTGCCTGAAGCCCTCTCATAGGACTGCTCTTTTCCTGGTCAATTTTTATATTGAACTGGGCTCATTCATTTGCAAGTGACAGAATTCCAATACACATGAACATTCAGGATAAAGGGAGTGATAGGGCACTACCGATGGGCATGGAAGCCAGCGACTCTTGCATCTTCAACTTTCTCTGTATATTTTTAGCTCCCAGTGCAATAGTTTATTTTTCTCCTTCTATAGAAGTGGAACTCCAGCCAGTAGTAGGAGCAGGAGAGGGGAATGGAGGGATTATGTCTCAATTTTATGTCACTCCAGTTTACTAATTCCAAAGGAAAAAAGAAAAAGGTATCTTTCCCTTTCAGTGTTACCATGAAAAAGCCTAGCAACGACTATGATGGGCTTAACTTGAATCTCTGGTCCCTTCTTAGACTAATTACTGTGGTTGGGGAAGGGGCCCCATGATTGGAGCCCACCCTCAGGCTAAGTGATTGACAGTCCCACAAAATGATTGACAGCCACATAAAATCTAATTGGAGCAGAAAAGGAAATCTCCAAAGGAAGGGATAATATTCCTTCAATAAGAGAAGAAAGATGCTGGGCACAGGCAAGACAACAGGTACCTTTTAGAATTCCTACTCAACCGCTAAGGCTCAGTTCAGGTGTCACTTCTTGGTACTGCCCATTCCTGTCCTTTCTATTGGGTTATGTGTCTCTCTTTTGGCTCATGTTACATTTTGGCTGTGCTGGTGTACCCTATTAATTTATAATTGTCTATCTATGTATTGGTCTTTCTGTGAGACAGTGAGCTCTTTGAGGATAAGCACTGTGGGCTATACCATTTGCATATCCTGCTTTGCAGCAGATAATGGAAGTTCCAGGAATGTTTTCAATAAAGAATGAATGAAGACAATCACAAAATGGCAGCCAGTCCTCTTGAGTTAAGAGAAAGGGGAAAGGAACATAATAAAAGTAAAAAGTACCAGATTTGGTGTAAATGCTTTATATTAACTAACTCATTTGATTCTCACAACACTTGCAGGAGGTATTTTTCTTTCTACTTTACAGGTAGGAAGCTAAAGGTTAAGTTCCACAAACTTACATGGCTGATAGCCTTCAATATCATAATGAGCACTTAGGTAACTTAAATCTAGACCAGTTCTCTTTCAGCTACGCTTGCTTTCTTCCCCCACCTCCTCCCCTCTTCTTCTGGTTAACAATGAACTCATGTAACATAGGGATCTTCTTTTCACTTCTTAATAATTCCGACATTTTCCCCCAATAGATGGTTTTATTTTACCTAAAGGTATTCCCTGATCTGCTTTGTGTCTTTCATTTGCTTCTTTGTAAAATCAGAGGGTTGATGGAAAGACTCTGTAAAATCTTTTTCAGCAACAACATTATAAAATTATACAAATTAAATTAAGCCAAGAAAAATTTACAAGTAGGATAAACTCAGTGTAGACCGTGCTTTGTTCAAGTTTACCCCAAAGGTGGTGCTCTGGGTTTCTCACCCTCCACTTTCTCCGCATCTCTTGGGTTTCCCACCCTCCACCCTCTCTGCATCTCTTCCTTCTCTTTTTGGGGCTTCCTTTATTCTCCCATTTAGATCAATCAGTTGCTCTTCTCTGCCCAACAACTTAGTGCTTTTATTTTGCCCTTCTTTGGATTTCACATTTCAGCTCCCGTATTCTCAATATTTCTGTCCTCTTTGTCCTCTCGTCATTAGACTTTCTCTTCAGAGCCTTATTTCCTCAGAACTGGGCCATGCTTCCTACCACCTGTGCAGGTTAAATTGCCAGGAATAGTCCTAGGGTGTTAACAATTGTAGGTAACCTCCAGGGTGGTCTGAATAGAATGAAACACTTGAATTCAAAGAGATAAAGATAATCATGGGTATTTCACAATTATGATTGATCCAGTATGGATTTCTTTTTTTTGGCAGGGTAATTTCTCGACCCCTCCAATCATCCAAAGTGACCTATTTGAGGCGAGTCCCCCAGAGCACAGGGGCTCAAAGTGTGGCTCCTCGGCCATCCTGATCTAAACCTAAGCAGTTGCCTGTCAAACCTGCAACTTCCTGGTCCCCACCAGACCTACTCAATCAGAATTTTTCTGGGGAAAGGCGGTCAATCTGAATTTAAAATATATTCTCTGGGTAATTCATGAGTGCACTAAGTTGTAAGGAACTCAGCCTTTGTGCTACTTATTTTCTAAAAGTTTCATGTGCTATTATTTTTTGTTTCTTTAATTCTATTACAAAAATTTATTTATATGATAAAATTTTATCAACTTGCGCAAATACTAGATGTTTGACTGAAGAATTTACCAACAAAACTCAGCAAAAATCCACTATCTATTACACACAAGCTCCAGATTTATACTTTTTTCACCTGAAAAATATAAGAAAGGCTAAATTCTCTAACCTTTCCTCCTCTCTTAAATGCTTATATGTGGGGCTTTAATCATAGTCAATACTAAAGGTAAAGCTAAGGAAGTGTCTTGATTTTTTTATACATTGTGTATTTTCCCATGTCTACTGTTTAAAGAGAAACTGCATTTATACAGTCTTGCACAAAGTTTAGTGGCAAATGTTTTCTTTTTGGTTCTTATATTAGGATGCAGGTCCCTGTATATGAACAATATTTATGTGAATCATGTCTATATACACTATACACACATATACATATATCTTTATATATGAATCTATATATACACTACTCATATCATAATTTTCTCCTTTGTCACAGGCTTTCTCTCCTCCAGTGAACTAACTCTGTTTTCCTTAATTTTCACCATTCTATGGTGACTGCAGGGCAATTCTGACTTTGGGTTAACAGTAGACCCAGGGTCACATTCCTATCATTCTTTCCAGATGTTCTACAGTGAGCTGATCTTTGGGATGAGCAGACAAAACCCCACTGGGCATCCTCCTTGCAGGCCCATTACTTCAGAGGCCTGTCTCCACCGCGCCTCACCTAGATTCTCTGGATATAAAGGAAGATCCCACTGTGCTGTATGGAAATAAAGCCCTCTGTGGTCAAGATCGCCCACCAAATGTGGTTTCCCTACCAAATAAAGAAAGTGTTGGAGGACAGGACCAGCACAGGACCAGCTTGAGATCTCTTGATCGTTCCATCAATAAGAATTCCTCCCTCTCACCCTCCCTCCCTCCCTCCCTCCCTCCCTCCCTCCCTCCCTCCCTCCCTCCTTCCCTTCCTCTTCCTTCCCTCCCTCCCTCCTTTTATTTCTCTCTTTCTCTCTTTCTTTCTTTCTGACAGAGTCTTGCTCTGTCACCCAGGCTGGAGTGTAGTGGTGCCATCTTGGCTCACTGCAACCTCCACCCCGGGGTTTAAGCAATTCTCATGCCTCAGCCTCCTGAGTAGCTGGGATTACAGGCAGGCACCACCATGCCCAGCTAATTTTTGTATTTTTAGAGAGACAGAGTTTCTCCATGTTGGCCAGGCTGATCTTGAACTCCCGACCTCAGATGATCCACCTGCCTCGACCTCCCAAAGTGCTGGGATCACAGGCGTGAGCCACTGCACCCAGTCAACAAGAATTTCTTTAGCCTCTTTTGCTCATTATCTACAAAGAGCATCAGTCTCTGCCTGGAGAGAAGGAAGGGCTAGAAACAGGGCACAGGTCCCCAGGTAAAACTGGCTGTAAGCCACCATGGCTGATATGCCGGGCAGGTCACTCCTGCACAGAAGGTGGCTGTTGGCCTCATGTTCCATCTCTTACAGGAGTTGAGGAAGCTCGACTAAACATCTCCTCAGAGCTTACAATACCAGAAATCATAGGACCCTAAACGTGTTTCTCAAAATTTTTGAGCTAAAATGATGTATTAAAGTACTTTGTAAATTGTGAAGTGCGTCACAAATTTTAAGTGACAACACCCTCAAACACTTCAATGTGCCCTTATTATCTATTTTGAAGGAGAAAGTCTGAGTTTCATCAACTCAACCAGGATACAGTGAGTGAGAAGCAACTTTTGGTGTCTGCAAAATGATCAGTTAAAAAAACCTGGGGGCCTGGCGGTGGCTCACGCCTGTAATCCCAGCACTTTGGAAGGCCGAGGCGGGCGGATCACGAGGTCTGGAGATTGAGACCATCCTGGCTAACATGGCGAAATCCCGTCTCTACTAAAAATACAAAAAATTAGACGGGCCTGGTGGTGGAAGCCTGTAGTCCCAGCTACTAGAGAGGCTGAGGCAGGAGAATGGCGTGAACCCGGGAGGCGGAGCTTGCAGTGGGCGAGATCGCGCTACTGCACTGCAGCTTGGTCAACAGAGAGAGACTCTGTCAAAAAATTAAAAACAAACAAACAAACAAAAAACAAATCCTGGCGTCCCTCTATGTGACCATACTCAGCTAGCACTTGATCTGTTCTTTTCTTATGCCATTTATCTCCCGGATCTTGTATATATTTACTTCTTTACATGCCTTATCTTACCTACTACATTCCAAGTTCTTTAAGGGTAAGATCACTATCAGATTTATCTTTGCATTATCCATAGAACCAGCAGACCTGACAGCCATAAACTGATGCTTGTTAAATGAATGAATGAAGTGAATGAGTAAAATCATACCCATTTCAAGTTAATCCTTTGGATTTCATTTGGCTTATACGTAGAAAGTCATCAAAAGGAAGGAAGCTGTCCTAGAAACCTTATAAGGAAGAGTCTCTTTTGGGAATCTCCTACCTGCCCCCTCCCTGGAGCACTTAGGGATGGATGGGGGAACCTTTCACTAAAACAAAAGACGAGTAAACTCTGAAAATTCCTTTAAGGCCCCTAGTGGTTTAATCTTTACTGCCGTGTAAATTAACTCAAATATTAAGCCAGCAATAAGCCGACGCTCGAGTATCAACCATGCTTTTCTCTGTTAATACGAACTAGGAACTCAAGTTGTTGTTTTCTTTCCCCTCCCACGTGTGCTGATCGTGTAAAACAATCACAGGAACACACGAGCAATGAAATGTGTAAATAAGAAAAATGCACACACATCACGAGCTCATTTCTTCCCAGATAGTTTTTGGTCAATCTCTCAAGCTTCCCCATGTGCGTTTGTGTGTGCATATTGGAAAACAGAAAAATAAGGTCAGCACAAACACTACTTGTAATACAAACTAATGTAAGAGAAAACTTCTTTTTTAATATTAAAAACGACACTAGAGAAATAATGTAAAATAAATGTACGGTTGGAACTAGGGTTAAAAAAATCAGCAACGTCAGCAAACTGAGATGGGGTGAGTTGGAAGGCAGACTGGAATTTATCTCTTAAAAAAAAAATCGCCCTAACTAGAGACCTGTTTTGCCTAGGGGGACGTGACTCACATTTTCAGATAATCTGAATAAGGGGAATTGTGTCTGCTCGAGGCATCCATTCGGGCTTAGGTCTCCGGACTCCCGGCTCCCGGCACGCACGGTTCACACTGGAGCGCGCGCCCCAGGCCAGCCAAGCGCCGAGCCCGGCTGCTGCGGGCTGGGAGGGTGCGCAGGGCCTGCGCTGATTGACGGGGCGCGCGGTCAGGTGACTTGGGGCGCCAAGTTCCCGACACGGTGACCGCGGTCACTGCCGAGGCCCGGCGGACGCTGACCCTGGAGCGTAGTGGGGCTGATCTCCTGGAACAAAGTTGCTGGGCCGGCGGCGGCCGGGCGAGAGAGCCAAAGGGGAGCCGGAGCGCTGCAAAGGCGCGGGCCGGAGGGCTGGCGCTGATCTGCTCCCTTCTCCTGGGGAGAGCGGACACCCGGCTGCCCGGAGGCGAGCCTGTTCCCGGGGAGTTGGGGCGGCAACGAGCGATCCAGCGGTCCTGCGCCCCACCCTCCCTACTCCTCCGCCTGCGCTGGGCTGCAACAAAGGGGCAGGCCCGCAGCGGGGAGGAGGAGGAGGAGGAGCCGGAGGAGCGAGGCGCTCTCGCGCACAAAGTTGTGGAGTCGTTTTTCCTCGGAGGAGGGAAGCGGGCAGCAGCAGCCGGCCGCGGGCTTTCTCCCGCCGAGGGGCGAGGAGGAGCCTCTGGCTCCAGAAGCCGATTGGGGGATCACGGGGAGCGGCGCCCCCCTTCTTTTGGGTCATTTCTGCAGACGGAAAACTCTGTGGCGTTTGGCAAACTTGGTGCCTGCGCGCCCGTTCCAGGTTTGCGCTTTGACTGTTTTGTTTTTGGCGGAACTACCAGGCAGGAAGATTGCACAAGTAAGGGGCGTTTTCAGTCGGGTGTCAATTTCTTTTTCTTTCTTTCTTTCTTTTTTTTTTCTTTAATTTCGGATCTTGTCTGCTTCTCCAAGTTTTATTTTTTAAAAAAATACATCGCACCACTAAACTCACACTCGCACACACCCCCGCGATTACTCCGTCTCAAACTCCTAGAGGAGCCCTTGGCCAGCTCGGGGTGCGGCGGTGGCGGCCGGCAGGCCAGGCGGCCCGCGGGCACCAGGTAAGCCCATGCATTATTGAAGCCTAGGGCTGGTAATGTGACTACAGCCCCCGAGGGAATGGGGCGGGGACCGGGAGGAGGATGGCTTTCTGCGGTTCTTCCGCGTGGGATCGGCGTCCCGAGCTCCTTCCCAAGTCCCAGAGTCGAAGATGGGAGTAACTTTTGCGTGCCCTTTCCTCGGGGCCTCAGTTTAGCTTCCCGCGGTGCGAGAGAGAATGCCGGAGGCGTGGAGAGCTGGGGATCCGTACTAGTTGTGAACGATTCAAACTTCTCTGACCGGCTCTGTACTGCCTCCCTGCTCCCCAATCCTCCTCCCCGCCGGGGTGACAGGGTCGCCCTCCGTGCATCGCGTGGTGCAGGGCGCTGGGCCAGTGATTTGCAAGAGGGGACGTGGCCTCCTAGGAGAGTCTGTCACAGACACCCGGGCCCGGGGAAGGCGGGGCCCCGGCGGTGTCCACAGGAGAGGGTGGGCAGAGGGTGACTGTGTGGTCGGCGGCCAGCAAAGCGCTTCCCAGCTAGCCGCCCGGCGGGGAGCATGCTTGACCTCTGGGTGGTTGCTGCTCCCAAGGGTGGGACTCCGGAGAGTGTGGCGCGATCGCCAAGCTCCCTGCCAGCGGCCGTGGAGAGGCTGAGGGGACAGGAGGAGGGGGGCGCCCCATTGGTGTGTAGTCCGGCGCAGTCGCCGGCTGTCCTTTTCCGGACTCTGGGGATCTCTTGCTGCAACTGACAAGGTAATCCATGCCCCTCTTCGGCCCGGGGTCCGAGGTTCTGGTTGCTCAAGGCCACTTAAAAACCAACAAAGCACCAGCTGAAGGCTGTGCAACTTTTAGATCGCAGGTTGTTCAAGGGGATTTTTTTTCTCCAAGCCTCAGATTACGAAAGGGACTCATTCCAGTGCGTTTTTCAAGGAGGAGGGAGAAAACGTTGCCCGACCTCCCAGAGAGCCGTGGGACCAGCACTTTGTTTTACAATGAACTGCAGAGCCCGGGTTCTAACTCCACGACCCCGCTCTCTGAGGTGTCCAGGACAGGGCCTCCTCTTTCCCAGCCTTCAGATCACCTGGATCACCAGGGCCTTGCGGGCCAGTTCCCCATGCCGCGGTTGGGAGGGTCAGTGCAGCGGTCGCGGCGGCCAGAGCGCACGGAGCGCTGGGGAGGCCGGATTCCCTAGGTCTGATCCGGAGCTCCCGGCCTCCCTCCCGGGCGGCAGCGGCAGCATCCATTCCTTTGTAAATTGCACCGGCCTCAGGAAGTCGATCTGGGTCCTCCCGGTTCGTTGGCTGTGGGCATGGGAAGACGCAGCCTGCAGATAGCTCAGGGTCAGTGGAGAGCTGGAGGAATGCAAAGCTTGTGGGTACTTCTGCGGTGACGGCCAGGGTTAACGTGGAACCATTCCCCGCCCCTTTTATCAGCCTTTATGGGACCGATGAGACAACACTTTAACTCTCCTTTGGGTGTTTACCTAAAATTTATTGGCCCTGTAAACAGTATTAATCACAGTAGTATTAACCTTCCCTGGAGCGCCTTTTTTTTTTTTTTTGTAAATGGTAGTTCTTGGCACTCACGGTTTTCTTTTACTGTGTTTCAAGCAGAGCAGGAAACTCTTGTGCGCTTGGCTTCCTATTCTACTGTCTTGAGCATTCCTAGGTTTTGGTTCCTAGAGTAAATTAATGAATAGTGTTTCAATTTACACAGCATTTCCATCAAAATGCACACTGTTGGATATATATGTGCTATATACGTAAAATATAGTACAAAATAAAAATTATATACATATATTCACTGTGTAATTCCTAAATCTTAAAAAATTAAAACATTAGTTTTGTCTTTAAGGCCATCACCTTATGTTTATTTTTTAAACACCTTATGTTTATTTCATACGTTCTTGCCTTGTGGTCTATATGACAGCCGGAAGCATTCTGAAGGGAGAGTTAGTGAATATCGATTTGACTGGATCGGTTTCAGTAAGAACATCTGGCTAAATTTTACAGAATATCATTTTGAGGGAAGGGAAATCTAGGGCAGAGGTAACAATAAATTGCATTTATATAGGGCTTAAAGCTTCTAAAGCAACATCTCATTCATTGATTCTCAGTTTCTCACCTAGCCTTCTGTGAAGATGGTGTTCCCTCCGTTTTATAGGTATGGAAGAGGGAGAGTCACACTAGGATACATTGTTCGTGGTGAAACTTTGATTCTGTCTCCTGAAAACCAAAGATGCTGCATTTGGCAATTAGAAGGAGTCATCGTCTGCCTTAAGTTTACTCAAATTCCTCTGGCCATTAATGGCAACAAGTAACCTCAGTGGCTATCAGTACTTAAATAGCCTTCTGTTATTCTTCTTTCTCCCCATTTTCCCCTGTACTCTGATCACCTTTTCTGCTGTATCTTTGGCAACTTGTAAGGGCTTTTCATTATCAAGAAGAGAAAATTTGAAAAATCACCTTGAGGAGAGTGTCAAGTGAAACATTATAGTGAAGAAATATTACTGATAGTGTGCAAATGGAATATAGTAGTGTGTAAAAAGTTTACTTTTCTCTTTTATGGGTGAATAAAGGCTTTGGGAAGCATAGAAGTGGAGATCTTGGCTAAGACCAATTGTGAAGAAAAGCATTAGACTTACCACTCCAAAGTGATACACTGTAGATCTTTCCAGGAAAGAGAATTTTTCCTTGGGCAAACTTAATTTTCCATAATAAACTTTTATAGACATTCTTCTGAACAAAGTTTTTGGTTCTTGAATATAATAAAATACACTTAAGAATTTAGCAAATCCTTTATAGTTATGTAGTTGAATGAAAGAACGTAATCACATAATAATCCATAAATTTTTAGCAGTAGTAGAGCGTATAAAAAATGAAAAAAGTTTCTTAGACTGTCATAAAATCTGTCAAATTGATGATCCAATTCTTTATATCCAATTCTCTCTCTTTTTTTTTGAGATGAAGTCTTACCCACTCGTTCGTCAAGACTGGAGTGCAGTGGCAGCGATCTCGACTCACTGCAACCTCCACCTCCTGAATTCAACCAATTTCCCTGCCTCAGCCTCCTGAGTAGCTGGGATTGCAGATGTTTGCCACCATGCCTGGCTAATTTTTATATTTTTAGTAGAGACAGGGTTTCGCCATGTTAGCCAGACTGGTCTCAAACTCCTGATCTCAAGTGTTAGCTGGGTTGGTCTTGAACTCTGGACCTCAAGTGATCTGCCTGCCTCAGTCTTCCAAAGAGCTGGGATTACAGGCATGAGCCACCATGCTGAGCCCAACTATCTTTTTGTCATCTCTGCTTATATAACTCAGAGGCACCTCAAGCTCTGTGAGTCCAAACCACATTGATGATTCCTTTCTCCCAGCCCACTATCCTCAGTGTTCCCCAGCTCAATGACTCACACTTCACCTAACTGCTGAAGCCAAAACTGGGGAGTTGTTTTGTACATTTTGCACATTGGATATGAATCCCTCATATCCAATCAGTTCCCAAATCCTATTGACTTTCTTTGATATCTAAATATCCCACATATTCACCCATTTCTTTCCATCTATTCTTGTTTAGACCACAATTGTTTCCTGCCTATAATATTAAAATAGAAAGACTAGCACAATAAACACCCAGATGTCCTTTTTATTTTATTCTTTTAAATTTTTATTTACATGGAGTAGAGACAAGGTCTCACCATGTTGCCTAGGCTGGTCTCAAACTTCTGGGCTCAAGTAATCCTCTTGCTTCAGCTTCCCAAATTAGTGTGATTACAGGTGTGAGCTACCTCGCCTAGCCCCAGATGCCCTTAAACTAGTTTTCCCACTTACTTTATTTTTTTTTTTTTGAGATGGAGTTTCGCTCTTGTCACCCAGGCTGGAGTGTAATAGCGCAATTTTGGCTCACTATAGCCTCTGCCTCCTGGATTCAAGTGATTCTCCTGCCTCAGTCTCCCAAGTAGCTGGGATTACAGGCACCCGCCACCACACCCAGCTAATTTTTGTATTTTTTTTTAGTGGAGACGGGGTTTCACCATGTTGGCCAGGCTGGTCTCGAACTCCTGAAGTCAGGTGATCCACCTGCCTTGGCCTCCCTAAGTGCTGGGATTAGAGGCGTGAGCCACCATGCCCGGCCTAGTTTTCCCACTTATTTTACAATATTTGCTGCATCTTTCTGCTTGTCTGTGTGTATATGCATATATACATCTACATACATATATCAAACTAAATATGTATGTATCAATATAGACAGATATATGCTATTCTGTTTGAACTTAAGTTAAAGATGCCATCACACTTCATTGCTAAATATTTCACCATATGTCTTACAAAGACATTCTCCTGCTACAATACCATTAACTAATGTTAAAGAAATTTAACATTGATACAATAATATTGTCTATTACATAGTCCAAATTCAGATTTTTCAAATGATCCTCAAAATGTTTTATTTTAAAATTCTGAATTCAATCAAAGATTACATTTAGTTGTTATGTTTGTTTAGTCTCCTTTAATTCACAAAGTTCCCCCTCTCCCAGGTAATTTTGGTTTTCAAGACACTGACAGTTTTGAAGAGACCAGGTCATTTGTTTTGAAAACTAGCCACAGTCTAGATTTGTCTGCTTATGAGAAGATTCATGTTCAACATCTTGGCAAGGATATTGTGTAGATGATGTGGTAATTTTCCATTGAATTGCATGATGCCCCATGATTGGTTATGTTAATTTTGATCACTTGGTTAAGGTTAGGAATTTTTCCCCAACATATTACTATGAAAACATTCTC